CAGTTTGAGTCTGCTTTATTTGCGCAGCTTTGCTCCCTGTTGCAGGTTCGGAAGTCACGGACAACACCATACCACCCTGCTGGTGATGGTTTAGTCGAGCGCATGAACCGCACACTGATCACCACGCTCCGACTGTATGCCCGTGGCCACCCTGAATCCTGGGACCTGCATGTGCCTCTATGTTTACTGGCGTACAGGACGGCGGTCCAGAAGTCAACCGGTGAAACACCTGCACGCCTAATGTTTGGGCGTGAGCTCCGTTTGCCGGCGGATATTATTTATGGGTTGCCACCGGAGTACCAGGATGTCTCGACACATGAGTATGTGCAGCGTGTTCAGTCAGTCCTCCAGAGTACTTATGCCCGTGCCCGTGCGACCGACGCCGTGGCCCATAGACGGATGAAAGACTACTATGACCGACGTGTCCATGGTTCGCCTCTACAACCGGGACAGTATGTGTGGCTGTTGGATACCGCTGTGAAGCCGGGCGAAAGCCGAAAATTACACAACCCGTGGACTGGCCCATACGTTGTCCGATCGCTGGCTGGTCCAGTCGTCGAGATCGTGTTGGCCGCCGACCTACGCAAACACAAGCGGGTGCATTACAATCGCCTGAAGCCCTGTCAGCGTGCTCCCAGTATGTTGCCGCCTCCACCTCAATCCATGAGTGCACCATCGTCCGCTGCTTTGCCGCTGCTAAGTACTGCGTTTATTTGGCCAGACTGTGATGACGCTGAGTTTGCTCAGGCTGCTCCTGCGCCTGTTGTGCCACCAGTACAGCCTCAGCCCGTTAATGTACCAGGCCCACGTGACCATTTGCGCAGAAATGCTGGTCCGCCTGCCTGGCACCGTGACTACAATATGTAACTGGTACACTGACTGTCCGCTCTGGGTGACTCCAGTTTAATTTAGGATGCTATGGACTTGGATTGCGATAATACATTAGGCAGTTCATTTTGTACAGATTTCTAAGTGTGTGTGTGTGTGTGTGTGTGTGTGTGTGTGTGTGTGTGTGTGTGTGAGAGTGTGTGTGTGTGTGAGAGTGTGTGTGTGAGAGTGTATGTGTGTCAATGAGTAGGTGAGTGAATGTGGTGTATTGTATGTGGTGTAGTGTATGTGGGTCAAGCCCATGTGCGACAGTCCATGTGTGACTGTGCATGCCCGTGTGCGCATGTGTGCCGGCATGATTGCGAGTGCGTACGTGCGTGAGAATGTGTGTCTTATTTTCTTCATATTTAATTTGGTATATGCCGTGTTGCTTTGAATTTGGTGTGTGTTGTGTTGATGTATTCACTTGAAATCGGGGACGATTTATTTTCGTAGGGGGGAGTAGTGTAGGAGTTGCATTTTAATAGAAAGTATAATTTTCGCAGTAAAAGAGTATTTATTTGTAGAGCTTGGGTTGATACAGATTCCTAGGTTCAAACCCCAAGATGGGCAGTTAGTTACATTTTTTCTCTCCTTGCGTATTTTGTATCTGCATGTTATTACCCTTTCCGTGAGTCGCTCGTGAGTAATGTATGAGTCGTGTATGGCTAAACCCGTATTTACCCGTATGACTGCTGCTAGTGTTATTGTTCTAGAACATTGGCAATCACAGTTCACAGCTCTGGAATATTCTAGAATTTCGTCGGCGACCGGTTTATATAGATTGCTCATTGGTTGATGACCAAAAAACATGGCTGCCGTTCGCCGCGTGTTTTGTCTTCTTGCATTGTTCTTTTCTTGTGCTCCTTTCACTTCCTATCTTTACTTGCCGAGTGTGTAACTAATAATTCTGTCCTAACGAGTATTCGTGAAACCACAAAGTGAGTGCTTTGTTTGAGTGTGTGAAATTGTCTCCGAGGGCCAGCTACTACAGTCCATAGTAATCTGATAAGACGTACCCCCAGGATGGGCAGCAGGAAAGTGTTCTTTAAAAAAGTATCCAAGTTGCAGTGCCGCTCACCCCCTAATTCAGCCGTGACACTCAAGTTTGTGTCTTACATTATTTCACAGCCTAGTGTTGGCAGGTCTAGGGCTGCACAACGTCCAGTGGCGTGTACTTGAGCAACGCCACGGGATTTCATTTAGCAACACTGTACTTCTTAAGGGCCGTCCACAATTATCCATCTTTTACACGAAGAGAAAAAAAGTTTTGTTTTAACCCTTTGTGGACGGACTGTACGAGTTTCGGTCTAATAAGATCGAAACTTGAAACGCGAATTTTCTGGGCGCACCGCACGTTTTCGGCGATATTTTTTACACAAATCGAAAGACGAAATCCATATCTTTCCAATGGTGCTAAATTCGCCGGGGGTCCCTAGTCAAAATGTTGACCAAATCAGCCGCGCAAGAAAAAAAATGGAGAGCTTGCGCGAGCATGCAGAACTAAAATTGCAGTACGAGTACTGTCATGGCACGACGCGGAAACGTCCTCCACATGGATGCGGACGATGCCATCGGCATGATTCTGAACTGGAACTCTGACGAGGACAGTTCTGGCGACCCACTTGACGAGGCTGATGACGACGAGTTCGAAGTGGACAGTGATAGTGATGATGATATCCCAGAAATTCAAGAAAACAATTTATCTGATGGATTTGCTGATACTGCTAGTAGCGAGAGCGGCGGCGAGGTTGATGATGGACAGCTTATCATATCTACTTTCCGAAAATGTATGGTGTTGTATTGGCTAATGTACACCGATTTCGAGTTATTACTGATTCTCGCGTATCGCTTCTTTCCTGTACAAATGTGGCAGTCCATAAAGGGTTAACATGGGTGGGTGGGTTAAGGTGAGTTTCGTTTCGAAAAATATTCATATGTGAGATATCAAGGCATTCTTGCTGTCAAGTCAATCTATTTTCCGTTCAGGGGGGTGGGTGGGTGGGGAAGGGTCCTAAGTAAACTTTTTTTCGTTTCGTGAAAATTATCGATAATGCCGGATAGCCCCTTATCCCAACACACTTGAGTATGTATAAATATACTGGTGTGCTCCGGACACTGTGATGACTGCACAAAGCAAGAGAGTAGGTATGTCTTTATCAGAGTACCGGTATGTACAAGACGTGTGTTCCACTGTACATGTACGTGAGAATATGTATAATCGATTCTTGTCCACTGCTGCCACCAGCACCAGCACCGCCGCCGCCACCACCAGCACCACCACCACCAGCACCAGCACCAGCACCACCGCCAGCACCACCACCACCAGCACCACCACCGCCACTACCACCAGCACCACCAGCAGCACCACCACCACCACCAGCACCAGCACCACTAGCACCACCACCGCCGCCGCCGTCACCAGCACCACCACCACTGCAGCACTGATACTCAGCAAACCTGCACTGATATCTCTGATAGAACATGGCTCTTGTAGTCTCAGGGCAAACGCTGCAGTACAAAGGGTCCCGGCCCCTCAAACAAAATGCAACAGCTACATTAGCCATAGAAATGCACGAGGAAGATAACAGCTGATGCAAAAGAAGAAGAAAAAAACACGTTGCATCTTGAGCAATTACACTCACAGGCTTCTTGCAGATGTCACACTGAGGGACCTTGCGCTGAGACAACTCTCCTTGCTGCTCATATCGACACACAGACACACAGACAAACACAAACACATACAGACACAGATACACACACACACAAACACACACAAACACACAGATACACACACAGACACAACACAAACACACACAGACACAAACACACACAGACACAACACACACAGACACAAACACACACAGACACAAACAGACACAAACAGACACAAACACAGACATGGACACAGGGAAGCACAGAAGCACAGAACTTCATTTTAAAACGATGCACGGCTAGACAGACAACGTGCCAGCATGCTGACGTGCAATCAAAGTTAGTACCAAACGCAAGAATTCAACACAAGCTACAATGAACGGGCAATCAAAAGCAATCCTGCGCTTTGGTTTTCAAAGAAAACACACCATGTACCACACACACACACACACACACACACACACACACACACACACACACACACACACACACACACACACACACACACACACACACACACACACACACACACACACACATCACTGATCACTAGGGTTATGCCATATCCCACACATCACTGATCACTGGGATAAGGAATATGATTATATCCCATGTCAGAGTGGTGAGCATGTGAACCAGGTATCACCCCCCCCCCCCCCCTTTTCGGGCGCCACACACACACGCGCGAATCAGATATCACCCCCCCCCCCCCTTCTTCCGGGCGCCACACAGACACATACGTGAATCACATATCTCCCCCCCCCCCCCCCACACACACCACCACCATGTACCCACATACTCTCTGCAGCTACAGTGCATAGAACTGCATTGTCTAGCACTGCATACACTACCTGATCTCAGCTATCAGTAAGTCATTACACAGTCTTGCACTGCATACACTACCTGATCTCAGCTATCAGTAAGTCATTACACAGTCTAGCACTGCATACACTACCTGATGTCAGCTATCAGTAAGTCATTACACAGTCTAGCACTGCATACACTACCTGATGTCAGCTATCAGTGAGTCATTACACAGTCTAGCACTGCATACACTACCTGATGTCAGCTATCAGTAAGTCATTACACAGTCTAGCACTGCATACACTACCTGATCTCAGCTATCAGTAAGTCATTACACAGTCTAGCACTGCATACACTACCTGATGTCAGCTATCAGTAAGTCATTACACAGTCTAGCACTGGCTGATGTCAGCTATCAGTAAGTCATTACACAGTCTAGCACTGCATACACTAGCTGATGTCAGATATCAGTAAGTCATTACACAGTGTAGCAGCACTGGCTGATGTCAGCTATCAGTAAGTCATTACACAGTGTAGCAGCACTGGCTGATGTCAGCTACTACAGCACTGCATGTACAACACTACTAGTACAGTACATGACTGTATAGCACTGACCTCCAGTAGCCAGCGCTTCAAGCAGTTGTGATGCACAGCAGCCGTGCCTCCCTTGCAATCACACGGGTAGATCAACGGTCCGGACTCGCGACTTTCCACATCATAGCAAATCCAGCACTCAAACTCATCGGTGCTACATTGCTGCGCACGATTCGCTGTACATCGGTAGACATCATCAACAGCAGGCAAACAGCATGGTTTCAGACACAGCGAAGCAAGAGAGGGGATTCACTCTGCTTCAGATAAGCCAAACCACTACTACTAGGTATCCTGTAGACAAAGAATTCAAGCTATCACTGTGCTGCAGGAGGCTAGTAGTGATAACAGAATTAGTGTGAATTAGAGACAGCAGGGTGCTCTGTCGCTCTCTTTCGTGAAACCGGGCGCTTTCGCAGCACTTTCCACTACAGAACTGTCGGGCGCCGAAGAAAGGAGCGCCGGGAAACGACCAGGGTAGAATTTCACCAAGCAACAAGAACGGCCTAGGCTAGGAGGCTGACCCCCCCCCCCCCCCCCCCCCGAGCTCTTCGTCGACCGATGGTACTGCACTGGTAGTCAGTTGGGAGTGTAGAGGTCTCTCAATCAAGCAGACTTGCAGGCTGTGCACACACACTAAAGTCCTGGCCAGAGAAATTCAACCTCATGAATAAAGTAGCGCTGGCCTTAGCACCACCCACACACACACACATACACACACATACACACACACACACACACATACACACACACACGCACACACACATACACACATACCTTGGTCCTTGGTAACACTGCCATTAAATGGTCACGTGTCCCCTGTGCAGGGGTCGACAGCACTGAGTTCAGCATTGGATCCAGAAACGCCGCTCTACTTCCTGGACAGGAAATTAGCACAGCTATGCAGGTCGAAACCACGGGATGACCTGCAGCAGCGACCGCAGCCGAGACAATGCGCTCTGCAGCAGGGCAGGGCAACCCGCCGTTTCCGGACCGAGTCTGCCGATGCCACAGCCGAGACCGACGCCACTTCAGCAGCCGAGTTGGAGAGACACTTATGCGAAGCTAGCCCGCCAGCACTCAAGAACCATCTCCCGCACGCATTACATAGTCGGCTGCCGGACTGCTCAGATATGGGCTTCCTCCTCTCGGCCAGGCACTTGTGGCGATTCTTGTATTTCTGGTGGGCGAAAGTACGCTGGCAGACATCGCAGAGCACAGAAGTGTCACGCTGAGCCGATCGCGGTACTGGTTGAGCGGAATACGCACTGCGCCATTTCCCACGCTCCTGGGCGAGGTCGTACCATTCCGTGTGGTCGATGTTCACTGCGGAGAGGTCAGCTCTGACAGAGTCTCGCCACCGTTTCCGAGGACCGCAAGCCGGCCTCGGCGGAAGGAGCGCACCAAACAGGAGCTGGTGCGGAGTTCTATCGCCGTCCATCCTAGCTAGATGGCCTAGCCACTCCAGACGGCGGCGAAGAACACGTGTGGTAATATCCACTGGATCTCGACGATTCCAGGCCTCCAGAATGGTCTTCCTGTTGATGTGGAAGTCCCAGGTGTCTCTTCTACCGAGGGCTAAGATTGCGGAAATGCAGCGAAGATGGAAGGCGGACAGCGCCGCAAGCTCGCTTTTCAGTGGTACCCAACACTCCGCTCCGTAAAGGAGAAGAGAAGCCACACATGCATCATACACCATTCGCTTCGTTGCCAGTGAAAGATCGCCATCATCAAAGACAGATCGACGCAATGCTCCGAATGCCCTAGATGCTGACGCTATTCGGGACCGAGTGTCCACTGCGGTGCGGCCACCAGTATGGATGATGGAGCCTAGGTAGCGAAAGTCATGCACATTCTCGACGATTTCCCCGCCAACCACCAATGGACGACGATCCTCCGGAGAAATGCCGAAGCCGACCGCCATTACTTTGGTTTTTGATAGGTTGATGGTGAGGCCGAAGCGAGTTGCAACGTCCATGAACCGGCATACACACACACACACACACACACACACGCACACACTACTACTACTATTGACAGCTGCCAGAAATGGCCACGCCGCTCCCCAAAGGGAGGTACTGTTAGAGAGGTTAGGGGAGAGGTAGGCAGTGCTTCAAATGGCGCTCCAGGTCCTGTCGCCTCCGAAACTGGCGTTGATTACAGACTCGGCAATGATGTCCAAAGTGCTGGCGATCAGTCACTGTAGGGCGCTTCTGGCGGAGTCCACAGCGATGGCGCTTGAGGCCAGCAGTAGACTTGAAAGTACGCTGGCAGGCTGTACACACCGGGACCTCGGCAACAGGAGGAGCATCAAAAGGCGGTCGGTCGTCACAGTTGCCACTCCCTAGGCACTTATGCACTGCAAGCCCACCCCTGCTCCGGAGCCATCTACTGCAGGCAGGACACTGCACCGACCCAGGCTGCTGTGATACGGGGAGCTGTCGGACTGCTGTG